CAGGGAGCCCGATGCGGGGCTCGATCCCAGGACCCTGGGATCATGACCTGAGCCGAAGGCAGACGCTTAACGACTGAGCCACCCAGGCGCCCAGGGAGATATAGCAGTTTTAAGATTTAAAACACCTTAGAATTGTCGAGTATGTAAAGGTTTATGGTGTCAGAAGGCAGGACACCACACATACACACTTAAACCTGGTACTAACTATAATTGTCATATGATCTCAAAGAAAAGCCTACAAATTAGTAGAAAGAGTTTGAATTAGTAGAGAGGGGAGCAAACGGGCTCCCATGCAGGAGAACTTCTACCAGCGTGGCTTGTGGGGGCTGGTAGAGGCAGTGGCGTGGATAACCAGAGTGCCTTAAGGGGCATGTTTGACCAAAAAGCCAAACTGAGTTTAAATTTGGAGTAAGTAGCTTATGTGCCACTCTAGGTTCTTGCACTTTTTGCCTACAACTGTCCTGATGACAACAGTGTTTTATAGAAAATTAGTCTACTGCCATATACAAAATGATCTAAAGAAGGGGAGGCTTACTGGGGTCCGGACAATCCTAGTAGCTGTGGATGTGGAAAGGAAACAAGTTGAGCTGTGTAGGTATCAAAAAATGTAAATGTTGTCCTCATATTAAATTGATGGTCTCTTTGGTTTTATGACTTGTAGCACCTTCTCAAAAACAATTGTGAAAGGTGCCAAAAGGGCAGGGAAAATGACAATTGGGCGGCAGTATTTATTGAAGAGGAGGACAGGGACAATTGTGGAAGAGCGAGTGAATCGTCCCGGATGGAATGAAGAAGATGATATATCAGGTATGTGAGAACTCCTTTTTCCTTCATGAATTGGTTTTATTCTTTCTTCTTATATGAATAAGAATAAGACACTCAGATGTAGTTGCCCTTAAACTTAGACTCACAAGAACCTAAACCTCATGAGAAGATTGGAGGCACTTACCAGCGTCTCAGAATTGGAAAAAAAAGAATATTTATTTTCCCAATATTCCATTGTTCAGATAAGATTTTGCTAAATTATACTTCTCTTTTACTAAATCCACAGAGCTGGTTGGCCATTGTCACATGGGTCTCATCAAAGGGAGAAAGAAAGAAACCCCAATGCATGGGAAATTTAGGTACAAAGTAATCCCCTGTACCTTATTGTTATGCAATAAATATAAGGAAACAAGGACATTGGGTATTCAAAATTAAAGATTTGGGTTTGGGGTAAGAACATTGTGGGTACTCTGAATCAAAATGAGGGACCAAAGATGAAAGCGTTCTTAGATGGTAAGAAAAAAAGTGCCTAGTAAATATTCAAAAGGACAGAATCTGAGAAGCTGAGATACCTCTCGGTTGGGAAAATAGAGGCAGGAAACCAGTCACAAAATGGCTTATCGACTGTTTTCTGTTCCTTAACCCACTATGGAGTATGTTTATGGAATTAACACTAGGGCGAATCTGATCTAATAGGAGGCAGGATACCTTTGCACCCTTTTTCTTTTCAGGATCTTAGTCAATCACTAGTGACTATACCATTACTACTTCTACTACTACTACTATTAAGGACGTTTTGAAGAAAGAAACCTCATATTTAGAGACATCACTGGCTAAAGGTCTCCATTTCAGTAGGTATACCTACATACTCTGAGAGCAATGAAAAGACCCACCATTGCATTACTGGAATGACCATTTGTGGGAACCCTGGCCTCCTTAGAGTCACATGGAAAGCCATAAAGACATTACCCATTGGTATTTGACTCTTCTAATTTGAAGTTCTTATGATTACACAGAAGAAAAACTGTTATTTTATTATATTTATTCTACCAAAAGACCAAATTATATAATGCTCTTTGCTCCTCTGAAAATAAAAAGCCAGCAGAAAACTGGTACTTGATGGTATATTTGCATTGTGAAGTTCACAAACTAAAACACAAAGTCTTGTATTTGAAGGGATAAGCTGTTATGGGTTTTTTTCTTTCTTTTTTTTTCTTTTTAAGATTTTTTTATTTATTTATCTGACAGAGAGGGACAAAGCGAGGGAAGGAACACAAGCAGGGGGAGTGGGAGAGGGAGAAGCAGGCCTCCCACTGAGCAGGGAGCCCCCAGGACCCTGGGATCATGACCTGAGCCGAAAGCAGATGCTTAACAACTGAGCCACCCAGGCGCTCCCTTTTTTTTTCTTTTTCTTTTTTTAAATTTTATTTTATTTTATTATGTTATGTATTTTTTTTCTTTAAATGGAAAAGAGCCATATCATTCCCTTTGACATTAGAACTTTGAGTACATATCCAAAAATTCTGAAACCTTAATTTGATTTCTCTCACTGTAGAAGTAAATAAAGTAAATTAGGACAGTTTTTAACATGGATTTTTTTTCTTTTTTTTTTTTTTAGTTAGAACATGCAGTACAATTAGGAATGTTAGGGGTTTTTCTTAAATCCTCCCTAAATGCTTGATTATTGGATAAATCCTTCCACATCTAAAATCTTAAGTGATTCTGTAACCTGTGATTGCAAAATTATGAGGGAGTTTCCCATGTATACCACATCCTCTGACAAAAATATTTTCCACAAAAAAAGTATAACCTCTTGATACCTCTCTAAGAAAAGTCTTTTCCCACGAGTGAACTTCTGCCTAACCTAGAAATTTCTAAAAAAAGTTTATGTTCTGAAAAGTTAACTGAAACCTGGATGATGAAGTTTGTATAGTGATCGTATTAAAGATAAATTTTACTGATGAGTTAGCCTCTGACGAAATTTGAATGTTTATTTTATAGTCCTAAATAGAAATCACTATACTTTGGCATTAATAAGCAAGCCTGATTGAAACAGAAAAATATGGCTAATGAATCCAAAATTCCATTATTTTTAGAAAATTTGAGTTAGTTTCCCTGGCATTTTCAAAGTTTATTTATTTATTTATTTAAGTAATCTCTACACCCAATGTGGAACTCAAACTCACAACCCCAAGATCAAGAGTCGCATCCTTTTCCAGCTGAGCCAGCCAGGCACACCCCTTCCCTGGCATTTTGAGCCCCTGATGTTTTATTTCCTGACTATCCATTATGGTTTTAATTTATGTTTGAACATAATGATTCTTCAAGGAATTAACAGGATTTAATATATACATCGTGCCTGTAGCCCTAATATAAACCACTCTTGGTTTAAGAATCCTCTTCAAAAGGAAGCTTCTAATCCTCTACTTTGAGCCATATCATTTTTTCAAAATCTGTTTCTGCCTTCACAGTTTCAGATGATAGTGAACTCCCCACAAGTACCACTCTGAAGGCCTCAGAGAAGTCTACAATGGAACAGTTAGTGGAAAAAGCTTGTTTCAGAGACTATCAGCGTTTAGGTCTGGGAACCATAAGTGGCAGCTCTTCTCGCTCAAAACCAGAGTATTTTCGAATCACTGCCTCCAACAGGATGTATTCACTGTGCCGGAGGTAAGTCCGTTAGTGGGCTCCAAAAAGACACCTTTCCTTTCTTCTATTTTGTCTTGAATGGGCTATTTGTCATCATAACCCAAAGGGAGAAAAATATCAGAAAATTAAGAGCAAGATCTCCAAGGATATGTGTGTTTAAGGGACGTTTTTTAGCAGCATGAGCAAGCATCTCCTTGGCATTCTCAGAAGTATAATTATATCAATGAATAGTGCCTAGATTAGAGCAAAAGGTGAAAGGTAAGTTTTTGTCTTCTTTAGGATTTTTTTTACTTGTCTTTCTCTTCCCATTTGCATCTTTTCTACCATGACTGAAGATAACTTGAAATAAACACAGGATTTTCCCAGGTAGATAGGAGAAATGGTCTGCTGTAGGCCAGGGGTCTACAAACTTTCTCTTTAAAGGACCTGATAGTACGCATTTTCACTTTTGCAGACCATACGGTCTCATTGCAGCTGCTCTGCCACAAAAGCAGCCGTAGATGGTAAATAAATGAATGGGCGGAGCCTGTTTGGGCCCACACTGTATTTGTTGACCCAAGTGTAGACAGGGTTTTCTTATGCTGTCTAATTAGAATATTTTCAAGGGATATTAGAGAATGGAAATGAACATGTTTTCTTCTATTCTTGTCATCTCTCACTGTTTCCTCTATCAGTTAAGTTCTATTCCATGCTCTATATTTATATTTATTAAAACTACATTTCCGCCATCCACAAGTTTAAGCACTTTCATCTCCAGGTAAGTTGTTGCCTTTGCATTCATAAATTCCCAGTTTGATTGAATAGAATAATGCTATGAAACTACTTTGTATTTTGTAAGCCTTGTACATATTTTAGAAAGTTGTCTTAATGTTACTGTTAGTTTCAACCCCTCTGATCCTGAAGAGCTATAGATATCTTATTTTAAATGACAGTTTAAATTTACAAATACCTGCCCACCCAACACATGAAAAGGTGCTCAACATCACTCATCATCAGGGAAATGCAAATCAAAACCACAGGGAGATATCACCTCATACCTGTCAGCATGACTAAAGTCAAAAACACAAGAAACCGATATTGGCGAGGATGTGGAGAAAAAGGAACCCTTGTGCACTGTTGGTGGGAATGCAAACTGGTGCAGCCACTCTGGAAAACAGTATGGAGGTTCCTCAAAACATTAAAAGTAGAGCTACCCTATGATCTAATCATACTACTGGGTATTTACCCAAAGAATACAAAAATACTAATTCAAAAGAATATATGCATCCCTATGTTTATAGCAGCATTATTTATAATAACAAAATTATGAAAGCAGCCCAATTGATGAATGGATAAAGGAGATGTGGTGTGTGTGTGTATATGTGTGTGTGTGTGTGTGTTATTACTCAGCCATAAAAAGGAATAAAATCTTGCCACTTGCAACAGCATAGATAGGTCTAGAATATAACATGGATGGATCTAGAGAGTATAATGCTAAGCAAAATAAGTCAGTCAGAGAAAGACCAATACCATATGATTTCACTCATATGTGGAATTTAAGAAACAAAACAAATGAACAAAGAAAAAAAGAGAGAGACAAACCAAAAAACAGACTCTTAACTATAAAGAACAGACAGATTGTTACCAGAGGGAGGTAGATGGAGGGATGGATGAAATAGGTGATAGGGATTAAGAGTACAGTTATCTTGGGGTGCCTGGGTGGCTCAGTTGGTAGAGCATCCAACTCTTGATCTCAGCTCAGGTCTTGATCTCAGGGTTGTGAGTTCAAGCTCCACATTGGTCTCCAAGCCAGGTGTGGAGCCTATATTTAAAAAAAAAAAAAAAAAAGAGGAAGAAGAGCAAACATACTCGCACGCAAATATATGGAATTAGAGGTTGGGAGGTTTCTAATATGAAATCTCTTTGGAATAGTATTTCTAAATAAACTAAAGGAAATGACTCTGAAACCTGCCTATCTTCTTGTGTTTCCTAATCTATAAAAACAAAGTACTCCTGTCTGTTTTGTATTTTCCCAGCGTCATATCCTGTAACTTCATGAGCTAACTTCTTTAAAAAAATTATCAACATGTAGTGTTAATATTTAAACTTATTTTGACATTTGAACATACTGTTCTCATACCAAAAATCATTTGGTTTTGATTTTTAGTTCTTTCACCATCTCATGCAGGCTAATACTAGTGTACTCTATGCTCACTTGTCATTTCAGCAGACTATTGAGTTGATAATTTGGCTTGTCATCCTCATAAAGTTGTTTTAATCCAGTAATCTTACAATCTTTATTTCAAGTTGACAAAAAGTAGTGTGTAACGCAAAGGGAATCATCAGTTTAACAGAGGCCTTTTTAGTAATTCTATATCGCATTTTTATTTTCTAAGTTTAGGTTATTCCGCAGAAGTCTGCAGTATCACTAAAGGGGGCTTATTTCAAAAAAGACTACAGATTAATGGATTTATTTAGCTGTTTTCACATCTCGGCTGTTTCTTCTCAACCCCTGGAGAACTGAGTTGAAACTAAGTTCCATGTTTAAAAAAAGTATCTTAACCTTCAACCAGTATGTTTCTGAGCCTTAGAAAATTATGGGATATGATGATATTCATGTTCTCATATTCTTTCTCTCTCTCTCTCCCTTCCTCTCCCCCCATTTCTTTCCTGTTCTCCACCCCACCCCCTGCAATCCCAATCATTCTCTTTCTCCTTTCCATGTCCCTGAAGCTATCCTGGCCTTTTAGTTGTACCTCAAGCTGTACAAGACAGTAGTTTACCAAGAGTTGCCCGCTGCTATCGACACAATCGCCTGCCTGTTGTATGTTGGAAGAACTCAAGAAGCAGTACCCTGCTTCTCCGATCTGGAGGATTCCATGGGAAGGGAGTAGTTGGTCTTTTCAAATCTCAGAACTCCCCTCAGGCAGGTAAGCATCTCTCTGCAGCACAGTTATGATCATTTCACTTCAGAGAATTCCTAAAAATAAAGGAAGTAATATCTGGGAATGCCAATTGTGCCCTTATATTGAGCCTTCTCTCACACGCAGGCTTTCCACTGTGCAATATAAAACATGTACTACTTGACAATGTGGGGGTTACACCTTGAATTTGACATCTTGCTTAATATGTCTGTCTATATTTGGATTTTAATAGAAATTATCATAATAAAGTCTTTGGTTCTAGGCTATTTTCATTTCAGCAAACCAAAGTATCCACAGATGGAAACTAGATTATGCTAATCTTTCTCTTTCCTTCTGGGAAGCATCCAAATGTATTTAACAGCTTCAGAGGCAAGTAGGGATTCTCTGTCCCATGTAATATGAGATATTTTATCTCATTCCTACAAGTCACATGCACACACACAAACAAGTCAGCAAACTAATGACCAAAATGCTGCCTTTTTTAAAGAAGCTCTCAAGCAAAGGATATTTTAGGAAGCTAGAGGGAAGCCAACTTAAGAAAGCAGATAGTACTGCTGTCCTTTTTTCTGAGGATATTTTTAAGCACTATGTTTGGGGTCTTGACGTTAGTCAGGAGCTATATTTTGCTGACCTTTCCCATAACTTCTAGTTTATAGTAGATGCTCAATAAAATTAAACAATAGATGACCAAGATATCAGATCCAGTTTAGGTTTGGCTGTGTTCTTAACTCTTTGGAAATGAGGTCAGTCAAGTTCTGTGGGTCAGCAGGTAAAACCATGTGCTTTTGATATCTCCTTTTTGTTCTCATTCATTTTCCTCCTGAAAGTTAAAAGTTGGCCAGTATGTCCTTGACCGTTCACTTGACTGAGGGCAGCACACACACAACATAGCAGCAGCAGCAGCAGCAGCAGCATTATCCCACCTGTCTTGGAGTCTCAACATTGGTATAATTAAACACAATTGGCTTTGAACTATTTGGACACTGGGAAATCCTCCCAAGCCACACAGTAGATACAATAGAACACAGCATATAAGTTACGTAAAGTGGGGGAATCATTTCAGAGCCCTGATAAATATATCACTGAGCTTTTCATTGGAAAAATTGAAATTATTTTATTCCACTGGTTTCTGATATTTTTAATATAAAAATATTTCATATTTTTGAGCTCGCACATATGCTTACATTTTAATATCTTTGAAATTGGGATACATCTTAACATTTATGTGATCAGAAAGAATTGTCATAGTTTAAATGGAAGAATTTTTAATTCTTAGTACATAAGATAATGGTACATCTTATAATTAATGACATCTTAGAGTTTATAAAATACAATAATGGCCTCTTAAAGTTTGTAAAATATAATTTTGCTAATTATTTTTTTATTCAAGATGTAAGAAAATTTGTTAATACCTGTTGTCCTTCTAATGAGTCCAGAATGATGCCTCTTTAAGGTGCCTGGGCCAGTTTCAGTGATTCTTTGCTCCACACAAACCAGACTCAGACTACCTCCAACCTAGAATTGCATTCACATTTGTTTCCCTCTGTGCATACCCTCTGCCCCTCTCTTAGAAGGACCAGGGAATCTGGCAGTAGCTGTTGCTACCTTCTCCCCATCTTCCTCCCCTCTTCCTGCAACAAACCCCTACAAGTTCATGTGCCCTGTTAGACCTGTGTGGCAGAATTAGAAGAAAGCTACTAGTATGGGGAATTCTCACCTCTGCCCACTCTGGGATGCCAAGGGAACCCACTCCATCCTCTGCTTCCAGACGGTAGCATGGACAGGATAATTGGGGGAAATCATCAAGAAGATGTTGCCTTTTGTGACTCTTCATTTTGAGTTGCTTGTATAATGAGAAGCTACTCCTGTGCTTGGAAGGACAGCCCTGTGCTGGTTTTCCAGACCTGGGCTCTTTCTGGGAGGATGATGAGGCAACCAAGAAGTAGGTGTGGTGAAACCAGTATTAAAGGAGGATAGCCATCTAATAGTTTACAGCTCAAAGTGGGTCTGGTTTCTATATTTGGGTGTGGTAACTTGAAGATTATATACAGAAAGAATAAGATACTTAGGTAGATAGCTCTTTTATTAACATAGAGACAGTTTGTTTTATTCACTTTTTCTTTTATAGCTCCTACCTCCTCTTTAGAATCTTCCAGTAGCATAGAACAAGAAAAATACCTGCAAGCCTTACTGAATGCAGTTTCTGTCCATCAGAAACTCAGTGGCAATAACGCCCTTACGGTCAGGCCAGCACTTGCCCTGTCTCCAGGTAAGATCTGATAATACTTCCTTCTTGACAACTATGAAAGGTCAGATTCATTCTAACCCAGCGTTAGTCTCTTTAGTTATTTATACTGTTCCTTCTGTGTGACCCCTTAAAGCTTTACCCTGTGGGGCTATAACTTTAGCTCCTTTTACTTAAAAATCAGCATACCACTGCTAATGTCTAGTAACAGTAACCAAATGTGGGGATTCAATTATTTCCTTTTTAAAAGAATAATAGGAGTGGGGAACATCAAGTCATCTTTTTTCCTAGAATTGTTTTTACATGGACTTTAACATATTATTACAAAGTTGAATGTATAAGGTGAACCCCTGATTATTTAAATGCATATGTAGTAAATCATTGTGTGTAAGTTTGAAATTCCTGAAATTTCTGCAGCCTTTTATGATTTGTAGTACAGTTTGTTTTCACTAGATTTGGATGAAGCCATTAAGACTTGTACTAATATTCTGTTTCAGTTATCATGTGATGGAACCCCAAAGGGTTCATGTAGAGGTAACCCTAATGTGTTAGACACAGGAGCATGTGACTTGAAAAGTTGGTCTCCTTGGCTTAATCAGCTATTTGAATTAGCTCAACATAAGCAGAAAGTGGCTTTTCTTGTAAAGTAACACCATGCATGCCTTGCTTCATTTATCATTAAATTCTCTGATTGCACTTGCCAAACCTAACTCTCTATAATCTTGCAAATGTGTGTATCTCTGAGGAAATAGTAACAGTGCCTTGTTATCTCTGTTAAAGCTGTGGGTACTTAAAAAGTACAATGTTTGGCAGCAATTAGACATGCTACACATGAAGATAACTTTTTGTCATTTGAGTAATGTTAACCTGAACGACGTGGTTTTTGTTCTTCTTTTTGACTGACTTTCAGGGACTGAAAGGAGGACTTCAAGAATGTCCACTGTGCTTAAGCAGGTAGTGCCAGGACATTTGGATGTAAACCCATCCAATAGCTTTGCTCGAGGAGGTTAGTAAGATTGATTTTATAACTGAGCACTGATACGACCTTAAAATCAGAAAACTTTACTCTAGATAGTGATGTTTTAAATCAACTAATTATGGTTCAAATTGTTCTTAATTACCCTTTCTAAATAAATTATCTAATTTGTTACTGGTGTCATGACAGATGAGTTTAGCCTTCTGGAACAAGAGGCATAATAATTGCTGAAATCTTAGATATTGATGAGTTTGGAAGCCGTGGGAGGTAAGGGGAACATGTCTGAATGGTCAGCCCTGCGAATAGCCTACAATGCTTCAGGTTTGCAGGGTAGCAAAGCTGATCACAGAACATAAGCAGCTAGAGAAGAATAATCTGAGACCCAAAGAATTGTGCCTCCCCAGTGCCTGTAATTTTTACTCCTATTCTCTGAAATACTAGGTTAGGGAACAAAAGAGAATGATATTCAGGTTACTCTTTTTTTCCTCTGGGCTTTCACTGCTGGCATAAGGAAGTAGAGAAAGGCTTGTATTTGCTCTTTTAGCTCCAGAGGTGGTCCACTTTGGTCTCTGGAGATTATGTGAGATTCTTTTACTTTTCAGAGGAAATTCCAAAGCAGCTATCTTGATTGTAAAATCTCCTACTTCACACTGGATTCATAGAATCTTGGGCTTTTCCTCTCACTCACATGCAATGCTGAATCCTCTTGAAAACATACCAAGTGAATGATCCAAGTTACTTGAACATCATCAGTAATGGGAAACTCATTTCTTCCTAAAAGTAGTCCCTTGCATTTGTAAGCAACTCTATATTTGTTAGAAAATTCTTTCTCATACTGATCTAAAAATCTGCCACTATGTGACTTTTACATATTGGCCCTAGCTCTGCCCTCTAGAGTTAGAAAATTCTAAATCTTAATCTCCATACTACAGCCCTTAGGATTTAAAAGCTGGTATCATCTTTTCGCTCTGAGAACTTTAATTAACTCCAAATTCCCCAATTTGAATGGCTGCCTTCTATTTACCATCTTTGTCACTCAGTGAGCTCTCCATAGATTTGAACTCATGCAGCCTCAGATTACATTAGATATGAGGATGGCCCCATCACTAGGTTGACCCATACTGACATTAATATCACTTGAAATCTCTTCCCATGTGCTATTGCTCTTAACAATATATAGTACTAGCCTTGAGGGTTGATTTTTGAACCTAAATATACTATGTACTGTACCTACAAAATTCCATCTTTTTTTATATGGACTCTTGTTTTAGACTTTGGATCCTGATTCTGTCTACCTATGTATTAGCCTCTTGTCATGCATCAGTATGACCTCTGCTGTAATGTAACTTGTTGTTTAAAAAATATTGAACAAGCCAGACCTAAGGGCAGAAGTCTTCATCAAAATAATTTAGAAGCCTGGGGCACCTGGGTGGCTCAGTCGCTAAGCGTCTGCCTTCGGCTCAGGTCATGATCCCAGTGTCCTGGGATCGAGCCCGCATCGGGCTCCCTGCTCAGCGGGGAATCTGCTTCTCCCTCCCCCACTCCCCCTGCTTGTGTTCCCTTTCTCTCTGTGTCTCTCTCTGTCAAATAAAATCTTTAAAAAAAAAAAATTTAGAAGCCTCCCTGAAGAAAGAGATTGTCTGTTAATATATACTAGTTAAAAGTCCTACTAAAACCCACCTGGCCCATATTTCTAAATCTCTGCCAATCTTTTTAATTTGATATTTTCCACTCTTTCCAACTGTTAACTATATCACAAAAGATTATATCGTTAGTTTACCATGACTCATTATAGGAATTAGTGCCTTTTCCTAAGTAATCATAAATTATCCATTAGTAATCCATCCTAGAATTTGGTTCAGAATCAACATAAAGGAAGGCTCTATTTCACAAAATTCACTTTTTCCCCTTTGAAGACCAAGATTACTACGCACATCTCCTGGCAGTCATATTGGTTCTTTAGATACTTTTTTTCTACCCATCAGAATGTTCTGCAATTGCAGGATAATAGCTTTCAACCTTCTTCACTCATCTTCTGAATTAAGATTTCAGGCCTGAAGGTCATTGTCTTAGTTTGCTAGGGCTACTATAACAAAGTGCCACAAACTGGTTGTCTTAAACAATGATTGTCTCATAATTCTCTGGAGACTAGAAGTTCAAAATCAAGATGTTATCAGGATTGGTTCCTTCTGAGGGCCATGAGGCAGAATCTGTTTCATGCCTCTCCCCTAGCTTCTGGTGGCTTGCTAGCCATCTTTGGCATTCCTTCAGCTTGTAGAAGTATCACCCAGATACCTGCCTTCATCATTATATGATGTTCTCCCTAGGTGTCCGTCTCCAAATTTTCCCTTTTTATAAGGACACCAGTCATATAAAATTAGGGGTCCATCCCCCTCCAGTATGACCTCATCTTAACTAATTACATCTGCAATAACCCTATTTCCAAATAAGATAACATTCTGAGGTACTGGGGGTTAGGACTTCAACATATGAGTTGGAGCAGAGGCATATAGTTTAACCCATAACAGTCATAAAAAGCTTTCCTCTGAATTTTTAAAATACCATTGTTTTAAAGTTTAAGATACATACCTCATTCTTATCATTTCTTGGTGAATTTGACCCAAAAAAATACTGCAGTGACTGTCTCCTAAGGTTCCTGCCTACTATTCCCGTTGTCAAGAGCTCAGATCAGAATTTGGCTCAAAGTTGCAGTTCCCCTTATTGTTTTGTTTACCATCTGAAAGTTTATATTGTCAGCAAGGCATGTCAACAGTTTTTCCACGCTCTGCTCTTGAGTTTTGCCTTTGTAAACTTCATCAAGAACACATTATTTATTCCTCCATTTGGCCAGATGACTTGTAAGATAAATTTCAGGTACAAAATTATCTCTTCTATCTTAGTACCTAAGGCTCATGGATATTCACCAAAATGTTTCACCTACATTTTCTTCTCTTTTTTAATATTGGCCTCAGACTCAGCCTTTTTTATGCAAAGGGATCCCCATTTGTGGTTACATTCTAGTCATGACTTCATTCTTTGCTATTCTCAAAGGTATCTAAAAGGCTATGTTTACCTCTTAGGGTCAAAATCTCCTATTTAATTTGTTTCTGACCCATTCTATGCATAATGAGACCATAATAATTTTTTCTGACACCCTTCCCAAATATTTTCTTCTGAAAATTACTGTGAACTTGGTGTGTTTCCTTATGACGGTTTTTTGCCCATCATCCTGGTATCTTAAACTAGGATCCAGAAACATAAATCTTATCTTTTTATTCCATCTCTTAATTCTTTTCTCCCAAAGCCTCCCAAATCTTCCAGCGTCCCAGTGGTTAACTGGAAGATGAGATACTGCTGTTTCCTGGCTCCTTCAACTTCTTCTCTGATCCCTAGAGCTGCTTCCTTTGTCTCTTCCAACAGTATCATTCCTCTTCACATAGAGTAGCAGGAATGGACTGGGGCAAGCAAGTTTGGGAAGTCTTAGAAGATTCCTTATTAACATGACCATGACAGGCAGACACACACTCAGACGGGCCAGGGCAAGACGAGGTATAGACACGTGCACACCCTGTAAATAGTTCATTTCCTTGTACCTCCCCTCAATGAGAGTCTCTTCATTTTTCCAGATAGCTAGGCACACTTCTCCAGAAGTTCCTCATCTGTCCTGTGTGGGAAGAGCCTCCTATCTCTAAATCTTCCTCTTAACCTTCTCCTTTTTTCCTCTTCTCTGTATTTTTGCTGTCTTTTCATTCCTTTCATTGTCATAATCTTGGGTCCTGGTTTTCTTCTTAGGTTATTTTCACTATGTGCCTTTCTCACTCACGATGAGCCAGAGTTTAGATTAACCCCCACCTTCTCCATCACCCTTTTTTCAGTCAGAGCAATCACTTTGCATTCTGTGTGCCTGTTGATGAGTTCCTAAGGCAGGGGAAGCAACCTCTTTTACACAAGAACTAGTTAAGAAAAAGTGAAGATGTGAATAAAGCACATTGCTTTTCATTTAAAATTAAAATCACTTTTGAGCCCTATGCAGAAAGCACATATACTTTATAAGTTGGATAAATTATTTTGTTGACTAGAAAAATGTCATGAAAGGGACATCTGGGTGGCTCAGTCAGTTAAGTGTCCAACTCTTGATTTCAGCTCAGGTCTCGGTCTCAGGGTTGTCAGTTCAAGCCCTGCCTGGTGTGGAGCCCACTTTAAATTGATTAATTAATTTTAAAAAAGAAAATCGGTTCTGCCTCTTAAATACAAAAATATAATAGTTCAGTGTATTTGAGAAGTAGCCACATGGAGGCAGCCTTTTAATTTTTCATCCTTTATATTTCCATGGCCCTTTAAGTTTCTCTACATGTGATAGTTTATCCTTATAATAATCTCTCTAGGATACATATTTTAAGAGGCTCTGAGAAATGAAATGACTTGGCCAAGATCACTTAGCAACTAGGATAACTGGTAGTGGGATTGGTTCAGTCCGTTTTAGTGCAGCAGTAACTGAATATAGCGTGTACCTCATGCACTGTGCTAGGCATAAGGCCACCTTGATAAATTCAGTCCCATCCCCACATCCAACCCAAGCATCTCTTTCCTCTTCTCCTTTGGCCTGAACAGAATGGAGGGAACAATACCCGTACTTAGGAAACACTCATGTTTTAAACAGCAGTGCATCCCCATTGGTGGGGTGGGCTGCACCACTTCTTCCCTGAAGCAATCCGCTTAGCCAAACCCTGCTGGACGGTTCCAGGGCCACATGGTTGCTTACATGACAAGACACTAAGAGTTTGATTCAGACCACAGTGCTACCACTTAATGTGTGATCATTAAGCAATTTAGGAAACCTCTTAATGCTCGGTGTCCTCATCTATAAAGCACAGATAATAAATAGTATCTAACTTTAAACTAGTTATGAGGAATAAATGAAATAATAAATGTAAAGCACTTAACTTATTAACTGGTTCATAACAGGAACTCAGTCAATGTTAGTTCCATGATTGTTGTGGTGGTTATTAGTTATAGTTGCCTAATACTCCACTGAACTGGGAGAAAAGTCTACATTTGCATTTAAATTACCTTAAACCAGGTTGCTTCTCACAGGCCTAAGGCAAGAAGATAGAAGACATCTGCTCTAGGTCTGGGCCAACAACTTACAAACTTTTTTTATCGTGATTCATAGTTAAAAATATATTTTATATTATATTACATTATAGAAGTATTATATCAGGTAACACTAAGTCACAATGCAAAATGTATATATACTAAAACAGAAGTTTCATGAAATAATATTTATCTGTACCACATGCAGTGTACATAGTATTTTCAAATTCTAATCTATTTCACTTTTTTAAAAATACCAGCTTGACCTACTAAAGTGATTACAGAAACCACTAAGGGGGGGTGTAACGCCTTTGGTTAACATGACTGCCAGATGGGATTACAGTCCTCAAAGCCCTCTCCTGGCCCCATATCAGTACAGGCCATGTGCTCATTGTTGATTTTCAGCTATGTGATGAACACTTGGCAGTTTTTCATTAATGAGCCTCTATTTGGGGAAGTGCTTAATTTTTTTTATTAGTTAATACCCCTCTTTTCATTCTCTCGGGGCAAATAATCAGAGTTGAAGATACAGTAGAAGGACCACAACAACTCCAAATGTATCAATTTTCAAAAGAAAATAATCAACAACTGTTTTTAGTACCTACATGTTAGGCTCCCAGCATGAATACAACAATAAATATTAAGGTCCTTACCCTTTGGAGCACAAAATCTAGTAGAATAAAATGTGCAAAATAATCACAGTGCAGTGTGATCACAGTTCAAATAGAGCTGTCTACAACCCTGGGGACAGTGAAATGCTTTTCAGAGGAGTTCACATTGTTCCTGGATCTTGAGGGATAAGGAGTTTGTCAGGTAAAGAAATGTGAGAATTAGTTCCGGGCAAAGAGACTAACATACAAAAGTGGTAGATGTTCAGGGAATAGCATCTCAGAATCAGGAACCAACCAGTCAAACTTCACTATAAGCATTTAGGGTCCCATATTCCTTTAGGAAATCTCAAAACCTTAGCAGAAAGGAGAGGAGCTGGCCAGCACACAGGAGGCCTTGTGCCTTTACCATGTTGTCCCATGGTCTTTGTTCTGTCTTGCAGTAGAATTCCTTGTGTGCAATCAGCCAGTGCCTCCACAACCCTTAGCTTTCTGAATTCCTTTGGCCACTAAAGCCATTAATGCCCTTCATTTTTTCTAAAAGAGTGAGGCAGAAATGAAAAAACACCGCTAATGATTTTTCTTTTATCAAACTATGTCATATGCAGTTTTGTAATATATAGCTTAATAATACTGCTGTTAACATTTTCAATCCTGAATAAATGCAAAATCATTTTCCCTAATTGACTTGAGCAGTTCCTTTGCTCAGGCAATAATAGAACTGTGACCTACCACTCACTGCTGTTGTCACTCCCAGCTGAAGTTTGCCACAGTCACGGAGCACTGTTTTTCTGTCGGGGGAAAAAACAATATTACTCAAATTACAAAAGTATTATCTCTAATACTGCCTATCATTTTGGTGCAAGTAGGGATTTTAGGAGAAGTCATTACTTCAGTTATCACAAGCTGTATTTTTTAGTGGCGTTGGGGATTGTCACAGGATCATGAATTTTTGCTGCTCATACCATCTATTAAAAATAAACATAATTTCAAAATGAAAAGGAAAAAAGATAGTGTGGCAATGCTTGATGCTGTACTGCAAAAACATGCCCTTAGTTATTCCAAATGGTTACGAGAGCTTCATTCCTGATGTGATGACCTTGCTCAAAGAACAAACGTGTTGTACAACACGTAGCATTTGCCAATCCATCAACCTCCTTAAATACTAGGGCCAATGCATTCCTAACGTTTACACCCCGCCCCCAATTCCTTAATTTTATTATATAAATTTGTTTCTCACCAAATGACAATCTTCAAAAGCTTATTCCATTTGGTATAATTTGTTCGTGGCACTCTGCTGTGCTGTCCATTTCATTGTGCTTATAATATTTATAATCAGGTGCTGACATTTCATTTAACAGGCGCTCAGTTCATCTTTTTTGTGTGACTGTGCAGCTTTTTGTTAATCATATTTTCTACTTTTATTATATTTACATTTTCCCCCTATGTTAACTTAATTTCAAAAATTAAATAACCTATTCTTCTCTTACTCAATTTGCTCTGATGTTTGCTGCTATCTACATTTCATTCCTCCTTCTGTCTTTAATCTCACTTACCAGTGCTTGGGTACAGAGATAAATGTTTTACTCAGTCAAATCCCAAATCTTCAACTAAGGGAAGAGTCCATAATCAAGGTACTGTATTATCTGTCCTGATGTGTCACTCTTTTTAACCATCTTCATATGAAAGCATATTTGTTACAAGTGACTTTTTTCACATTTGTTTGTCAAATTATGTCCTTTATTTTCATCCACATTCTGAATTTGCTCTGATTCCATTTATAAACACTTCCCATAATATCTAAGATGAACTCATAGGTTACGTAGAAAGATTCATCCATGTTAAGCAGAAATCACCTACAAAAGTTTCTTGGGAACCAGTCTCCTAACCCTATAAATGCTTATAAAGAGCAAAGCAGATGAGACAAACATTATGGTGACTTCCGGTCACCTAGAAACATGGATTAATTTAACATTTGGCAAATATTAAATGAAGCTTCTCAAAGAGCCTTTCTAAATCTAGAGAAGAAACCTCACTTTAGGGAAGCAGTGGCAGTGTCCTATACCCCAATGACCCCATCAACAGCATGAACACCATATGGACCTTTCTAAGGGGCTCTGTTGTTTTGAAGGTACTACAGTGTTAGTCAAAGTTTGAGGCTTAATATTTGCCTTTGTGTTTAGATACTGAATATTTACTCTTCACTTGCATGTGGAAATTCTTGATTTCTCTAATTAATATAAGTAAGGTCAGTTTATAACATGAGATTCTTCTAGCAGCTTAGCTTTGGCCTTTCCCTTAGAAGACATCTGCTTTTGACTGAAATTTTAAATAAAACCTCCTAAGTATCAGTGAAATGCACATTACTAAATTTATAACTTCTTACTATTTTTCATGGATACTGGGACAAAAAGATGAGAATATAATGTTTGCTGGTTTAAAATTATGTCATTTTGGCATGACACACAAATATTAATTCTAAATCCAGCCTCTGATTTTAGTAGGTATAGTAAAGTTCTAATTTATTACTTAATGTACATTTATTGTTGTGTTGACAGGCTAAAGCAGGGAAGTGTTCCTTACTTCTTTCATGAAACCCTGAGAAACTGAGTCACTCCGTGTTATCTCATTGTTGCCTTCTGCCCACATTTTTTTGTTTCCCTGTGTCATGCACTCTTTCTATTTATGATCTCAGCATTCATTTATAAGTACTGACTTTACATCAAAATGCAAAAATATGATTGACTTGGGTGACTTCTTAGATCCCTCCAACCCTAAGATTGTGTGATATGGAAATGCTGTATTGAATAATGCTTATATGTTGCAAAAGTTAACTACAAATGACCAATATGATCCATGATTACTTAGATGAATTAATTTGCTATTACCTCTAAAACTGTACCTACAGAGCATGCATCTTTTTCCCTATTCTGTGGCATTCCCACATCAGATTATCTCACTCAATTATTTTGGCTTTTGTGAAGGTGTATGGGCAAGTCTTCGCTCTAGCACTCGCCTGATCAGCTCTCCAACATCTTTCATTGATGTTGGTGCCCGGCTGGCAGGCAGGGACCACTCGACCTCCTTTAGTAACAGCACCTACCTGCAAAACCAGCTCTCGAAACGCCAAGCGGCCCTTTATATATTTGGTGAAAAGTCGCAACTAAGGGTAAGATTTCTTTTTCTCACTTGGAAGCTTTATGGATAGATGAAGGCAGTTTATAAAACTTATCTCAAACCAGCTTTTCTAGAAATGTCGTTTTACAGCATAGATTCTTAACCTGGAGTTAATAATCTCAAAAATTTTTTTTAGCTCATAGATATGTATGTATGTATTTCTAAATATACTTAAAAAAATCAAACATCAGGAATATTAGGAACTGTACCTACAAAAAAGAAATAAGGCTCATTCAGGCTGTGTTTTTCCATTGTCTTAGTTCAGCTTCCATAGGAATCTGTGCCCTTGGCAAAATAGATCCCTATTGATAAAGAAAGCTACAGGAAGGTAGGAGAGTGAAAAGAAGACTATGGCACTGCATATGGAGACAAGGGAAGGCCAAGACTGTTTTCTAAGCTTAACTTTTTAAAAACTTTGCAGGGCTGTGTATACAGAGACACATGTCCTAAGGCAAGTCAGAAATTTCAAACTATTAGATGCTAATCAACTTTATTCTTACTTTTAAATGATTATCTGAAGAGCTAAAGACTATGCTCAGGTCCTATAAATTGTAAAGATAGTCTCTACCTCCAAAAGCAACTATTCCTCGGGTTTGTTTTAGCAATTCGTACATTACAAAATAAATTCATTACCACTGATAGGTTTGTGGGAAATAAAAGTATTTGTTAATTCAGAAATCCCCTTAAAGTTTAGCCCAGTGCTCCAGTCAGCACTGGGCAATCTAGACAGACCTTCAGTTGAACTGTGGAGCCGGGGCTGTGAGCAGGATCCCACACGCTTACTTCTCAAGATGCCAGTGACTGAGTCATCTCTTCTCTGGCAAGCTGGCTTTGCTCGCTCTTCTCCCACTGCCAGGCCTGCTGCAATCACTTAGTCACAACCTTTAGGGTAGAGGGCATGAAACTGCTGGGTAATGCTCAGTTTTTAAGTATGCACATGTGTCTTCTGATACAGCAGAAAACTTTATATCCAGAAAATATTCAACAGTAACCCAGGGCTGCCTGTCCAGCCTCTTTGGCACCAGTATCTTTCCCAGAGCACAGACTTTCCACACTTCAGCACACCACTTATTCATGACCTGAATCACTCTCCAAGATTTGTCTCCTAAATTCTCACCTCTACCATTGCCTTTGCACGTCAGTCCTCAGATGAGCTGTGTGATCATGCATATATGAGTAAGAAGGACTGACTTCTTGCGACTCATCTTCCTTTTTCTCCTTCCCTCCCTCCCTTTCCCCCATCTCTCTCCTTCCTTCTTTCTTTTTCTTTCTTTTATCCACAAGGTATTATATTTTAAAAACATAATTCTACCATCCCGGCACAGTAATTATTAGGATTTCTGTATATTCCATTCAAGCTTTCCTTTTTATTTATTCAGTTGTATCTGCAGAGTGTAGGTCCTTATCTGTCTGATGTGTGCCACATTCTGGCTAGCACAGTGCTGTCTAGCTGCAGCCCAACACTTTCTTCTCCCCACAAAGGAGACATAGAGGAAAGTAAGTAAGTAGAGAATGACCTATTCTAAATAATCTTGAATTGCCCTTATTTACCTTTTTCAATTTACATACTTTAATACCTTATACTTAGAAACAAATTCCTTATGACCTAGGGTGTGTCAACACTGTGGTTGATAGTTCCTGGTTCATAAGATAAGCATACCTAGCTCATGTACAGTTGAGAAGTGGAAAGGAACCTGGTTTTCCTGGAAAGTAAACTATCTTTTATCTGTTACAAGTTTTAAAAAAAAACTAACAGATAAGAACTTATCTCAAGAACATGTTTCCATGTTGTATAATAGTCTTCATAATTACTTTAATCACTACATGGCATCCCATATTGTTGGATTTTTACATCTATCTTCTATATGTAAAATTGCAGTCCCATTTACAAGCATATAGTTTTTTATTTTTTTATTGAGATACAATTCAGTGGCGTTTTGTTTCTACATTTTAGATTATTTCTTTAGGGTAGCTTCCTTTTTAAAAGAGGAATTATTAAGACAAAGAAGCTTTTTTTCGAAACTTTTTTTTCCTTAATACATATTAGAAATGCTATTTTAAAAAAAGAATTAGGAGTTTTTGCTTTTTAGTTTAAAACTTTAATATACCTTTTTAAAAATACTCTAAAATAACCAATATAAAACATTAAACAGACCCTATGCATAAGTCCTTGGCAACAGTTTTTTTTTAATTGTGATAAAATACAAATAACATAAATTTACCATATTAATGTGTACAGTTCAGTAGTGTTAACATTCACATTGTTATATGCCCAATCTCCAGAAAGCAGTTTTACTCTCAGAAAAGCAAATAATCCAATAGAGTAATTTTGGCAGAATGTGAAGAAAGCACAGAGAAATGTGAGAAAACTAATTCATTCTTTGATACGAAAAGGTTGAGAACTTTTAAATCTTCAGAACTAGGCAACTAGATTATCAAAACAAAATAGACCAAAGGACCATCAGTTTAGCATTTTTAAATTACAAATACAACCTTGTGTGGAATAAATTTCATATGGATTAAAGATGTAAATGATAAAAGTATTCAAATAAATAGAGATTGATACATGTGTCATATTGAGTGGAAAAAATACTGTCCCAAAGCTAGAAATCACAAAACCTTTCAGATTTTACTATATATAAAATTTTGTATTATTACCTTTAAAAGAGTAACTACAATGTTAGGGCTGTCTTAGGGTAGTGAGGTAGTGATTTTTATTTCCTTCTCAATGTTTATCTCTACTTTTTTTTTTCAATGACTAATTTTTATTTGCATAATAAGAAACAAATATGTGTATGTCTACAAACTTTAATTTGTAGAGTTCTGGAACCTCAACAGTATATTACCTTTTCATTACAGTGTATATCTTGGGGAGACTTAGTTTACAGTTTTGGATTAATCATGCTGTCCACATGTCACTGGTTCCTCTTTAGACTTCCAGGCTCATGGCCTTACAATTGGCTTATATATGGTGTTATAAATTCCATCAGGTTCCAGCCTACCAGTAGTCTCTCCAAATTCTCAGAATGACAGCAAGCCAAGTCAAACCACAAGACCTTACAAATGGCTCTTTCCAGTAATACTGACAAATTAGCCACATAAGATTGACTTTCTTGACCTCTGCAACCTCTGTAGCTACTTGGCCTCAATTAACTGTACATCATTAAGTATTGCCCTGTTAAAAACAGTGCTCTTTTACCTATAGCACTTCATCTGCCTAATTCTCTTCATCTTCACCCACAGAACTTCAAGCTAGAATTTGCTTTAAATTGTGAGTTTGTTCCTGTTGAATTTCATGACATCCGACAAGTTAAAGCCAGTTTTAAAAAACTGATGAGGGCTTGTGTCCCAAGCACCATCCCTACTGACTCAGACGTGACCTTCCTGAAAGCCCTGGGAGACTCTGAGTGGTTCCCACAGGTAATGTCTGGAGCGGCTCATCTTATAACTCAAGGAAAGAGAAGTCCAATTGGATATACAGAATTGATATTTGAGGGGAAAAATATTGTGTTCCCCCACTACCTGACCCTCTCCCCTTCTTGTATGCCCTCCATAAAGGCTTTCCAGTTCCAGGAAACCATGTGATCTAGATGATGGGTCTAGAATTCTTCATCCCTGGGCTTTCATCTCTCTATCATTGAAACTTGGTCTTCATAGGATGCTAAAGAGGAGGTCTTTATTGTTAGATGGGAACTTTTTGACATGCAATAAATTTAATCAACAAATATTTATAGGACTGCTGCTCTGTTGTCAGCAGAGTGAGGATCCAGGACAGAACGTGATTTCTAGATCACTCCAAGAGCCTTTCCCTCTTACTTTCTCACCTCCCATGTGTCTCTGCCTTTTCCGTGTGTCTAGATTTTAGATTAACCCTCAGACTAGCCACCAAGGTCATTGGATGCCCTAAGCCTACCTAAGGTTTAGGAAAAACTGCATATCCTTTCTTCAGCTCAGTCAAGCTTGGGATGTTTTTAATTAAACTCTTATTGAGAAATTAAGGAGAAATAGATACGCCAGCACACATAACCCTCATTTCTTCCAAACCACAGAAGAAAGGTATTTATGACATGCATGTTTTAGACACTGATGCAGACATTTGGCCAAGAGCATCTCTGCAGTATACCCTTCAGCCTTGTCTTTAGGCCACTGATGCTATGCCCATTATTCCTTTGCCCCCTTTAGGAGTTCCCAGCCCCTCTCATCCCCTGTTCCTATCTGCCTCCAAGCTTCCTGCCTCTCTCTTGTTTTCCATAAGCCAGGAAATAATGGGAGTACCCAGGGCAGTGACTATTCTCAAGATACTTAAACTATTAAAAAAAAAAAAAAAAAAAACCCAGCCGCATATACAATTAGCTATAAATCTAGATCAGGTTATGTTAATGCCTATTATGGCAGTTCAGGATACTTTTGAATACCCGTGGAAGGAGCTGATCAAAACTCCATTCTGTCCCTAAGCTATGAGCCTCAGCCCCAAACTGTTCCCACCACCCAACATATCTGTCTGTTTCTGTACATTGTGTGTTCTGCTTCTTACTCCAAAGTGGGTCTGTACCAGAAGTTGGTGACTAAAAACAGTGGAAAATATTGCCCCACTTGGGATATTGGCATTTTCAAAGTTAACTCAGAGTAAATGCTAAGCCCAAGAGAATTCAAGCCTGGTAATGGCTGTGTTATAGAACAGTGAGTGAGAAGCTTCCCATTGCTGGAGAGGATATGTGCCTTGTTCCTGGGTTTAAAATAGCCCAGCTCTGTTTAAAATATGGGGGCGGGTGTTATTTTGTTTTATGTTAGTTGACAGTTGGATTCATTCTACAAATTATATCAAGTGATGCTTAAAATATAGTTTTAATCTATAATACACAATTGGTTTTGAATCTGTATGCTCTGCTCACAACCTAGTTGTTCATTAGGGACTTGAGTCTGCTAATTTGGCTTAAAAGGCTGAGCACAAATATAAGTTTTCTTCCCATTGAATACACAGTGCAGACAAATAAGAGTGTCTTTTAAAAGATAAAATTCATTTGTCATAAAATTCAGCCCTTTAAAGTGTACAATTCAGTGCTTTTTAGTATATTCACAGAGTTGTGCAACCATCCTCCTATCTAATTACAGAAAAATTAAGAGTATCTGAAGTAGAATTGACTACATCATAGAAAAACACATTTTAAGTCCTAAGTGTTCGTAGGGCCACTTAGACCCTCTGTCTCTTCCACTCTATGGAATTCCATAGCTCTTCTACTTGGGGGGGATCATGTACGGCCAGTTTATTTCATTGTCCATTATTCAAACACATTGTTTTAAACTATGTCTACTTTTGGGGTGCCTGAGCGGCTCAGTCGTTAAGCGTCTGCCTTCAGCTCAGGTCATGAGGGATCGAGCCCCGCATCGGGCTCCCTGCTCCACGGGAGGCCTACTTCTCCCTCTCCCACTCCCCCTGCTTGTGTTCCCGCTCTCTCTCTGTCTCTCTCTCTCTGTCAAGTGAATAAATAAAATCTTTAAAAAAAATAAAATAGAATAAAATAAAATAT